CAATTCGTTGTATGCCTAGAAACATGGCAACATTGTTTTTGGTGAATATATAACATGTTCTGTTCCAATAAAGGATTTTGATATGCATAACAATTCCTTGATGAAACTTTTCCTGTACTCTCTAAAATTTGACAATGCCACTAGCCCAAGATGGACTTCCTGTTCAACACGTTGTTGAATGTTCACGTCACTGTACGTAAAAACACAGTCTCGAACCTGACAATTTTAAAGTTCAGAGCATTAAGCAAATATATGGAAATACCAGTTGCATCAATCATGAAGATTGATGATTCGACTGCTGACCGGGATAGCTGCATTTAGTGTTCTTTTCTATGCAATATAAAATCATAGCAATGCTGCGGGCGGCGAAGGGTGACAGATTGTTTTGATTCAACGGCTCTCAAGCACCGGGTCTCAAGCCCGGATCTCAAGGTCGGACTCTCAAGGCACAGCAACTGACATTTCCTGACCTATTTTTTTACTATTCTGACGTGTTCAGGGCTGTATATAACAGTCAGACACTGACAAGTGAGTACTAGTAAACAGTCCGGGACATAGTCAATACAAGCCAGTAGGCTGGTTGGCTATCCGCTCCGCTCAAAAATCAAGCAACATGCTTTTGACTGTTTCCATGGTAGGACATGAATGTGAAGCTAACGTCGGTTTATAACTAAATAGGCCCTATATACGAAGTTCGCAAAAAACATTCAGTCTTTAGAAGTCACTTAGTTTATCACTAGGACGTATTCTGCTGTTACATTTATTATTTCCAACCATTTCTAGCATGAAGGCAGCATTTACAGTTCATTTAAAGTTCAAAGTTGCGTTGGGGTTACGTGATACAGTGTAACAATGTCGGTGCCACAAAACGAAACGAAACGAAACCCTAACCTTAAATTTTGAACGACTTCAAACATGACCAGACAGCAATTTTGGAATTGTTGAACACTGATGCACTATTCATTTCGTGTTTCACAGTGTGAAATTTTCTCAGATATTATTAGCCATGAAAAAAATGTGAGTAGGGT